TCCCCTTTCAGGTTTGCCTTTATTCTTTAGCCTGGGACATTCTTTATTCCAGTGCCCCTTTTCTCTACAAAAGACACATTCATCTTTGCTCAATCTGGACTTTGACTTCGATCTCCCTCTCATTCCTTTATTTCGACTCTTCGAACGGCCTCTAACAACAAGAGCTTCTGCTTCGACACTTGTATTTTCTTGTTTGTCTTTCTTTCTCAATTCATAACTACACAAGGCATCATTTACTTCGCTGAGAGACATATCAACCTTCCCATGAAGTAGAGTAGTTTCAAGATACTCAAACTCATCAGGAAGTGATCCCATCAACATCAGAGCCAGATCTTCGTCTTCAAAAGTCACGTCCATATTCATCAGATCAGTCACCAGCTGATTAAAGCTAGTAATGTGATCATTCATAGTGGTACGTGGTACATAATTGAAGCAGAACAATCTCTTTTTCATGTAGAGCTTGTTCTGACTGCTTTTCTTCAAAAATTTCTCCTCCAGTGCCTTCCACAATTTACTTGCATAAGTTTCCTTAGAAAATGCATACTTATGCTCTCTAGAAAGACATGATCGAATAGTATCACATGCCAATCTATTGATCATCTTTCATTTTTTTCTCCTCAACATCATCTGGTTTATCTCATTCAATAGCAATGTCTAGACCCTGCTGAAATATGACATCTAGAACCTCACTTTGCCACATGCCGAAATGACCGGTGCCATCAAAAATCTCCACTGCAAATCTAACATTTGTCACAACATTTCTTGCCAAAATTGAAGATGAAGAAGTTGTTGACGCCGATGTGGATGTTTTTGTGTCGTCTGTCATTTCTGCTATAAATTCTATTTAATAGCTGTCAATGCGGAATGTCAATTATCCCAAAGAAATTTTTTCTGATGTGGAAGATTAACCTAAGCCGCAACCACAGAGTATACTAAAATAAACCAAGAGCTCTGATACCAATTGTTGTGGATTTTAGGTTAATTTCCATCAATAATAACAAATTTACCTTGAAAACTATTATCTATGTGACTAGTGTGAAAACGATTGTACTAAAAATCACCCCAAGGTAGATTCCCAGGAAAGAGTGGAGGGGTCACAATGGTCCCTCTTAAAACTCACTATCCTTAAACAGAACTCCTAATACAATTAATTTTAATAGTACAATAATTAACAACAACTATACCCGACAATAGCTATTAAATAGACATAAAAAAGAACACCAAAATTTAACGAGATTAGGCCAAAATTTTACCTACGTCCTCGAACACTACTAAAATAATATTTCACTAATAGAGGAAATATTACAAAGAGAGAGAAAGAGTACAAATAGCCTTTAATATAGAAGAAGACTTATATTTGTGGGATACAAAACTAAGGAGGAAGATGACTCTATTTATAACAAAAGAATTTCCCCTTCTCCTTATACACAACCAATGTGAGATTCAAAATTTGCCAAAAAAAAACCAACAATATACACATTCTACGGAATCAAACCCCATAATTTCTAAGAAGAATATCATTCTCTTCTATCAGTGGTGTCACTTGATGGATTCAAGATATAATTTTAAATCCAACAGAATATAAATAAATAGCATTTTTTCCATATTCTTCCCAACTAACAATATATTAAATTTAAATAATACTATTTATATGATTAAATAATGGTTATTCAAATAAAAAATATTTTTTAAATAATCGATGATTATAAGATAACTTTTTTTAATTTCCCAACTAACATGATGTTCTTCACATGTTGCTTCAACTTTATTTATTAGTTATAAAAATATTGTACTAAAAAAACTCTTCTAATGTGGGAAAATCCATCTAACTTCACCTACTAGTTCACCTACTAGTACTTATTGATGATAAGATAGTCACATAACTATTTATATATTTTAATTTTTTTTAAATAATGATTGTTTGAGTTGAAAGTTAACTAATTAATTATATGATAAAATATGATCCTATAACAATTTACATCAAAATTTCTAATTTCATGTTGATGCATATCAATTATGTTATTTCATTATGTCAGCTTCGCAAGTGAATCTTACACAATAAATATCAGATTAACTTACTTGTTAGTGTGCGTTTGGTTTACGGAATGTAAGATTACCAGTGGGAATGTAAGATTACCGGTGGGAATGTAAGATTACCAGGGAATATGATTACTGAGAATGTTGTATTTTGTGTTTGGTTGGCTTAGCAAGAATGTAAGATTACAGTGTTTGGTTAAAGGAATAAAGGATTATTGGAATGTATATTTGACCAAATTGTCCTTATTATATTTTTTTTAACAAGTTGGAAAATATTTATATATTTTCTTTAAAAAAATTAAATTCATAAAATTTATATATTTTTTACAAAATTGAAAATATAAAAAAGTTTAATGAAAGGGTAAAATTTTATTTTAATTCATGAACTTCATATAAAATTTTAATTATATATATTTTTTGTACATTTAAAATAGTTTAAGGATAAATTGTAATTTAACCTTCGTATAATTTTTATTATTCAATGACAGAAGAAGAATATTTTTGAAAGAAAAAAAAATTTAAGGGCATTTTAGTCCAAAATGTCGTAATCCAACAATACCTAAGGAAATTGAGGTAATGACATTCCCGGTAATATACCCAAAAAAATTCACTATTGGTAATATAAGATTACCGGGAATGACATTCCCAGCCAATCAAACGGGAGAATGTGACATTCACATGAGAATCTCACATTCCTCCAACCAAACACACCCTTAATGTAATGTCCTTTTTTTAATCAAATGTAATGTAATATCGTTGAGCACATCTGATCGACTTATATATATTATTAATAATTAATTTATATCTAAAGTATATTTTCTATTTCATCTAAATATTTTAAATATTTTTTGTCAAAATAAATATTTAAAGTTTCAAAATAGGTATCTAAACTATTCAAAAAAATTCATCTAAATTCTAAATTGTTTGACATATAATATTAATTAAAGAATACTTTAGGTATTTATATGAAGCATTGAATATTTTAAGTACCTATTTTGACCAAAAAATATTTTAGGTACCTATTTTAAACATAAATATGTTTTAAATATTTATTTTGACAAAAAATAATTTAAATACTTAAATAAAAAAATAGTATATTTTAAGTATTTATTACCTAAGCCTTAATAATTAAAAACATATATACTTTCAGTGATATTCTACCTATGCTATTGTTTAAATCAAAAAAAATTTACTCAATGAATTTATTTTAACATTTATTTTATACATGCTACTAAAACTATTAAATTTAAGACACGTGACACTTTGAGACAGTGAGAAATTATAATAATATCGAGGGTCTGCTTCAGCAGTGCTTTTCTTATCTGTTTTCGTAACCACAAATAGCCCCATCTTTCTCCCCGATTTCGACATCGGATCAGATATTTCACGTATACTTACGCCTGTTAAGCAAATGGTAGGAGGGGATACTGAACCTGCTATTAGGGAGATTCTGAAGTCGAAGTTGGGCGAAGTTTCGACGGAGTCGAAGGTGAAGACAACGGCTCCGTCCTGGTCATCGTTCATTTTCAGGGCCCGTCCTGGTCATCGTTCATTTTCAGGGCGCCTCGTGAGCTGCGTCGCGTAAATGAAGGAGCCTTCGAACCGCAGATCATCTCCATAGGACCTTACCACCATGGGAAATATCATTTGAAGGCAATGGAAACACACAAAGTTGGTTATTTAAGTAGCCTTCTCCAACGACGTAGTGTTGGCTTGGAAAGCTACGTGGAGGCCTATATGTCCATCGAACAACAAGTTCGCAGTTGCTATGCCGAACACGATGATTCCTCTATGAGCTCTGCAGAGTTCGGGGCGATTATGGTCGTCGATGGATTGTTCGTTGTTGAACTCATTAACAAATTCATGGATCATCGATTGATACAATCAAACGATGCCCTGTTCAAGCAGAATTTGAATCTATCTTTTGGCACTAGATTTGTTACTGCTTGAAAATCAACTTCCTTTGTGTCTATTGGAGAAGTTTGCTCCTATGACCGGGCTGGGCGGGGATACTTTTGCCAGACAGGCTCTTAATTTCTTCTCCGAAACAGATTTACGATTACGGATGCTGTATAAAAGATAGATGATGAATTTATTCAAAATACCGAGCATCTACTTGGTTTGGTGCACGATAATTGGATCCAGTTTCGCTCAGGCTATCTGCAAACATTTCATCTCATTACATTAGAGCTGGAGGATCGGAAGCACACAGTCCCCGAGGAAAAGCATCGTCACCGTACACGGTTAGGGTATGGAGAATGTGATTTCATACGTTCTGCGACAGAGCTGTCGGAACGAGGAATCAAGTTCCGGCAAGGTGAGGAAAACTTCTTGTTTGACATCCAATTCAACACGGAACATTGTGTATTCCGACCCTGATAGTCGACCACGATACAGAGAGAATGATGCGAAACCTGATTGCATACGAACAATTCAAAGATAAATCAGGGAGCATCGTTATGGATTATGCTAGATTCATAGACTGCCTCATCAACTATCCCGCAGATGTCGCTTTGCTATGTGACTGTGGGGTAATCGATAATCGGCTGGGTAGCAACGAAGATGTCGCCAACATGATTAACAAGATCAACAATTACGTTTACCTATCCACCGGAAGATTCTATTACTCCGACATATTCTACGAGGTGAACAAGCATTGCAGACAACCATGGAACCTGTGGAAGGTGAAACTGAGGCAGACATATTTCAACACCCCCTGGGATTGGGTTCTTACTTCCATTGCTGTTGCCAGTCTCTTGCTCATACTTACCCTTCTGCAAACTATATTTTCGGTTCTTGCTTACTTAAAAAAAACTTGATTGTTCATCTGCAAACTATATTATGTACTTTAAAATCAAACGAATCATGCATGTACCGAATTGAAGGGTTTGAATCCATTTATAATCATCCTTTTGTTTGTAATGACTAGAGATTAATGAACCAGCAATGTCGAAATCAACAAGAAAAGAAGCATTTCTGCCTAGCCATAGCATAGGAGAAGCTTGGTTTGTAGTTGTTAAAAGAAAAGATATACCAAAGCTAGAAAATACAGTCCTCTTGTTAGAAAGTGTAATAAGAGAAATCACCGAACCAGCCATGTCGAAATCACGAACAAAGGAATCATTGTTACCAAGCCATAGTCACCAATGAATCCACATTTTCGCCCTTTCGAAACTTGTTGCAGAAAGTACTCCATGGACATTTTGAAGCACCTTCTTCACCCTGCAATAGTTGCTTGTTTCCCTGCCGTAAGGTACAGGTTACATAGAGATTAAAGCAAGTAGATAACTGCACAAGGGAAGGGTAGAAACAATCACCTCAGGGTTTATGTTGTGAGTTCCTTCTTGATCATTTACAGTCCTCGGGAAGAAGTATCCCGAATCGGCTAATGAATTCAAAGAAAGGTCTTCGAGTTGGATATCCGGCCATACTGATTCTGATTGCCTCTAGAACACCCTAAAAGACCAACTTCTAGTTAAAAGGAAAACATCTAAGCAACAAGAAAAGATAATTTTTACAAACCAGTTCTAATCAATTCACACTGCAGCGAAGCTGTTGCATGACATTGACATTTTCAATATAGCAGGTTTAAGTAGGTTGTTCGGCTTTAAACATCGGATGTAGTGAGGTTCCTTAGAATTTAATGTGTCCATTAAAGATTGTAGTTGTAGCTACAGCATCATTTATCAAGAAAGTGTTAATCCACGAGTTCTTACAGTACATAACGAGATATATGAGGGGCAGTGTAAAAGATGATTTTAGTTGATAGAAAGGGACTCGACCAAAATCATGAAGACAAACATAAAAGCAAAACTACCTTAAAACGAGAACCGATTGAGGAAAACTTTGATGATTTTGATGTTCCTTCTGGAAGTGGAGGGAAAAGTCCTGCTACAAACGAACATTTGGAAGCACTCAACAAGTCTTGATGTTCAGGAACCACATAATCCTTGTTTTTGTCCAGAAATTGATCAGATTGGTATTGGACCTGAAAAAGAATGTTTTAGAAATCATAATGACTTATCAGCTCCAACTATTTACCCGTAAACACTTTGCTAATGGAACATACGTCTCCAGCATAATGAGCAATGGTGAAATCAGTGCGAGACAGTTTCGGCTTAATGAATCTCTTGTGGTCCTTAAACGTCTGATAAAGCTTCTTTGCAAAAGTTTCATGAGTTGATTTCAGGAACATGCAGATAAATAAATAAAGTGTAATTAATAAGACAGTAATTATTCTTTTCATCAACTAACAGCTTAAACAGAAGTTATGTAATGAATTACAGACAAATTTCTTTGATAAGAAGTAGCAAAATTTTGAAGCAAATACATGAAAGAACAATATTATACCAAGCTTCATCTAGAAGAGCAACAATTCCTCCAGGTTTCTGCAAACATAAGAAGGAATATATATATATATATATATATATATATATATATGTGTGTGTGTGTGTGTGTGTGTATATATATATATATATATATATATATATCTTTTAGTAAAATAACCAAGAACAACAGAAATGAAAAAAATAAAGGTCAACATGTATTATGTTTAGGGGACTAACCTTTTCAATAAGGTCTAGGACATCCTGATTATCAACAAACTCGATGTAGCTCCAATTGATCTTCTCTTTTGTGTACTCTTCTTGCTCCATCTTAAACACATGCTGAAAATGATAAACCAGAAACACTTAATTTATAGTTGCCGACTGAAAAATAGATCAAATGGACAACATGATTTTAAGATCTTACCTGATTGAAATGCTGTTGCAACTTCTCAGTTGTGAAGTTAATACAGAACTGCTCGAAGCTGCACAGTGAGATACCACGAATGAAGTCACAATTCTTCTTAACTGATTTAAAAGGTAGTTTTCTGCAATATCTCAAATACAATAGTCCATCAATTTGTAATGGCTACAACCATTGAGCATACCTGTTAGACTTAAAGCTTTCGAAACCGTAGATGTCGAGGACTCCTATTAAAAATTGAGTTTGGATCTTGTCCTATTGAATTATTAATTTTATTCACCAACCTGCATACAAGGAGACACAACTTAGCATTATCTCGGTATCATAAATTGTTCTACTTTGCCTTATCATGTGATATTATCTCATGTTGAAGCTTCTCACCAGTCAAACAATCGTGAATAAAGTGTTTTAGCCAAGCCATCCCCGCAAATTGTAGCGCTTTGAGGATCGAGACTTCTCTTTATAACCTCCTCGGGTGTGACCATAACACGCTTACACAATGCATCTTCTAAGGCCTTAGCATCACACCTGAAATGAAGTGAACTCAAAAATTAAACGAATATGAAAGTGACGACACCATAAAATATGACCTTGTGACATGAAGAAAAAGAACATACATGAGAAGCTCTGCTGTTGTTTGCAGATGGAAGTTAGCCTGGTCATCTTTTGGAAGTGATGAATCAGCTTCCTTTTCTTTAGCAAAAACAATGTTTCCAAGATGAAGAATTGCAGCAACAACTATGAAAATGGCTTCCTGAGAAAGAAAAAGGACGTCATTACAACAACAACAACAAAACCCTATTCCCATATGCAATGGGGTAAGGGGAAGGTAGGGTAGTAGGCTGCCCCCAACGTCAGGTTGAGAGCAGCTTCCGTGGAAGACCTCCGGCAGTCAGAAAATTAAAAATAAAGATAAAATGCAATGCATGTATAAAAATAAAAAATAAATACACAGTTAAACAGTCTATATATGCAGTCTACATATGCACATCTGTAATGAGAATTAATCCCTGCAATTAAATCCCTGCGTAAAAAGTTCTGCATATAGATAGAAACGTAAGATCCGACTAAAATATAAAAAAGAGGAAACATGAAGAGAAGAATACACAGAAGTCACCGATAGCAAGTAACGGGAAGAAATAAGGTCAAATGGGTTAAAACCTAAACTAAGGCAACATTTCTCCAATACCCTAGTTCTTAGCCTACATAAATTACAATGACAGAGACATATAAAAAGTAGAAGTCATGGAAATTTCTATAAAGGCATTAAAAAAGACAGAGATGATACACCCTAAGGATGTGACCCGTACTACTCAGCTACCCTGATCTTAAGTCTCCATATTTTCCTATCTGAGGTTATGTCCTCGGTAAAGGCTAAATCCTTCAAATCAGTTTTCAAGCAGTCTTCCCACTTTCGCCTTGGTCGTCCTCTCTTTCTGGCACCGTCGACTGTAATCGACTCTACCCTCCTGACCGTATCCGACGGTTGTCGCCTAAGGACATGCCCAAACCACCGTAGTCTTCCCTCCCTCAATTTTTCGGATACAGGCATAACCCCCAAGGACATCCTAATAGCAGAGTTTTGTGTCATGTCCCACAGAGTCCTACCACATGCCCATCGAAGCATTCTCATTTCTGCGGCCTCCATCCTCCTTACGTGATCCTTTTTGATTGCCCAACATTCTGATCCATACAGCAGCGTTGGTCTTATTGCCATTCTATAAAATTTTCCCTTAAGTTTTAGAGGCACCTTCTTGTCACACAAAAACTCCGGTAGCAGCCCTCCACTTTAGTCATCCCGCCTTTATACGATGTGTAACGTCATCATCCACACCCCCATCTTTATGTATCATAGACCCTAGGTACTTGAAACAATCCTTTGAGGGGAGAACGTGTCCTTCTATGCATACCTCTACATCTTCATCGTTTTGGTTCCCACTGAAGTTTGAACATAAATAATCTGTCTTTGCAATATTGATCCTTAGACCTTTTTCTTCCAAAGCAGTCTTCCAGGTAGCCAGTCTACTATTTAGCTCAGTTCTTGTTTCAGCAACTAGGACAATGTCGTCAGCGAAAAGCATACACCATGGAACACCGTCTGGTGTCGCACAATAGATGTCGTCCATAATCAAGGCGAAGATGTAAGGGCTAAGAGCCGACCCCTGTTGGAGTCCGATTTCCACCGGGAATGCCTCGGTGTCACTAATTGTAGTCCTGACGTACATAGTAGATCTACAATACATATCACGAATCGCTCGAATATAAGCAGTTGGGATCTGTCTCGTTTCCAAGGTCTTCCAGATCGTATCTCGGGGAACACTATCATACGCCTTCTCAAGGTCAATGAACGCCATGTGAAGATCTCTATTTTTTCCCCTATATTTCTCCATAAGCTATCGAATTAGATGGATCGCCTCCATAGTAGACCTGCCTGGCATAAAGCCAAATTGGTTTTCCGAAACCCTAGTAACCTGTCTCAACCTAGCCTCAATCACCCTTTCCCATAGCTTCATGGTATGGCTGAGTAGGTTAATACCTCTGTAGTTGCCACAACGTTGGAGATCTCCTTTATTCTTATAGATTGGTATCACCGTAGACTCTCTTCACTCCTCTGGCATCTTGGCAGTCTCTAAAATAATATTAAAGATGTTGGTCAACCACTTAACTCCCTCTTCTCCTAGGGCCAACCACACAGTGATAGGAATTTTATCTGGACCGACAGCTTTGTCCTTCCCCATCTTTCTAAGAGCCATTTTGACTTCCTCAAACCCAATCCTACTTGTAGGGCATTCATTGGCCGTAGTATGATGGTCGATTGACCCATCAAAGGTACTATCTCTACCGGGAGAGGCACCGTCATTAAATAAGCCGAAGAAGTAACTACCCCAAACCCTCTTAATATCATGATCTTTCACTAAAAGAACATCATTGTTGTCCTTAATAAACTTAATGCTACATAGATCTTTTTTCCTATTCTCCCTTGATTTTGCTAGCCTGAAGATGTTGTTTTGTCCTTCCTCGGTGTCTAATCTCTTGTACATTTTCTCGTATGACTTATCCTTTGTTTTAGCCACCGTTTTCTTGGCTTCCCGCTTCGCCTCCTTGTATCTTTGTTTAGCTCTCGATCTTTCTTCGTCGTCATTGTATTGTAGACACTCCTTGAAGCAAGTTTGCTTCGTCTTCACCTTAGTTTGGACTTCATCGTTCCACCACCACGATTCTTTATGCTCATTGACCTTCCCTGTCGACAACCCAATGGTGTTTTTGCCCACCTCTCTGATGGAATGTGTCATATTTTTCCATAACATATTTGCATTATTTGAGTTTGTAGATCCAAAACCTGTATTAGACATAACCTTACTCCTAAAGTCATCAGTTGTCGCTCCATGTAAGTTCTTCCAAAGGATCCTAGGTTTACCAAGTTTAGCCCTCTTATGAGTGCTCCGCCCGTGGCGTACGCGGAACACCAAGACCAACAATCTGTGTTGTGATGCACATGTCTCTTCAGGGAACACCTTGCAGTCAATGCAAGCCCATCGATCCCGATTTTGAACCAAGATGTAGTCGATTTAGGTACAATGTCCCCCGCTATGGAACGTAATCAAGTTCACATCTCTCTTGTTAAAGCATGAGTTAGTGACCACCATATCGTGTGCAGTAGCAAATTCAAGCAACGTACGCCCCTCCTCATTCCTACTACCAAAACCGAAACCCCCATGAACACCATCATACCCATCGGTTGCACTACCTATATGGCCATTGAAGTCTCCCCCTATGAAAACTCTTTGGTCCTCCGAAATGCTCCTAAGTACATCATCTAACTGGTCCCAGAAGCAACGTTTCTCCCCCTCCCCTAGGCCAACGTGTGGCGCGTACACTGAAAGGACATTCACTACTTCCTCTTCTATAATAACCTTAATTATCATGATCCTATCCCTGTATCTACAAACTTCAACTACATTTTCCTTGAGCCTAGAGGATACCAAGATACCCACCCCATTTCTAGCGTTATCTACGCCTGAATACCACAACTTGTACCCATTACACTCTCTGGCGCGAGCCCTTTTCCACCTAGTCTCCTGAATACAGGCAAAATCTATTTTCCTATTGCTAAGTATGTCGGTCAGCTCCAGCAGCCTAGCATTTAATGTGCCTACATTCAACGAACAAACTCTAAGTCTAGTCTCCTTGACACCACTCTGTCGAGCCCTCCCCCTATACGCCCTATGAGATCTAAAAGAAGGACATGACCTCAAGTAATCATCTATATTTGAAGCTATGAGGAACTATGAAAAAGGAATCCAAAGAAGACAGAGGGTGCACCAATAAAACGCTAGTGAATTGAGGGGTACTAAGAAGACTAGTTGGTTACTTAATTGGAATTTAAGACAAATTTACACTATCTTACTAAAACTTAAGGCCAACAGTTAGAAACCAATGATTGGATTTATATCTTACGTAAATATCGATAATGATATAAGATACTAGAAGTCTAGGGCAATAAAAATTACAAATCCAGTAAATCCTACTCAAAGAAAAGTGCAAAAATAAAGATCCAGTAGATCCAAGTTCCCAATAAACAAACAAAAAGCACAAGGAACGAAAGGAAAAAACATTCAGGTAATCGAACAATCCAGCTAAAGAAACAAAAACCAAAATCTATTGTTTCAAAAAAAAATCAGTAAAAGACCAAACCTGCGTGGCTTATATGGACAGTAGAACAGAACAATGGAACACTTAACTACTTGAAAAATAAACTTCAGAACCTAGAAAATTACCCAGAACATAGAAAAATTACCCAGAACAAACAACTAAAGATAAAAGAAACAATTAGCAAAGCAACGATTAAACATTCAAACTTTAGTCAAGTTCCAGAAAATAAAGAAGCCAGAAAATTCTTTAAATTATAATAATAATCCACCAAAATCAAAGTCGATTGAACATAAACAATTCTAAGAAAGCCCAGTTTTCAAATGAAACCCTCAAAAAATATCTTCTAACAAATGAAACGCAAATATAACAAGAATCCCAACAAAAGTTAACGTTAAAAAGAAGCAAATTCTCATTCAATTCAGATAAATAATTCTCAAAAGATAAAGCTTTTAATATTAAAAAGAAAACCTATCAATAAAAAATGCTTATTTTGCCAAATAACAAAGGAATTCGATCAAAATTCAATCAGATAAAAGACATGCAGTAAAGAAGGGAAATTATACCTAGATAACCAAAGTTTGGCTCCACAGGCTGGTCCAATCAGATGATCCGAGAATATTTTAGGGTTTGGATTCTGTTTATAACAGACAAAAGAACCAGGAGGAGAGAGTGGATCGGAGTTTGGACTTTGAATTGTGGAGGAGAATTTGGGTCAAAATTTGAATAAGAGGAAAATAGAGAGCGACGCAAAGATTTGAATAAGAAAATCCAGAATCAGTCTACACCCACTACAGAGAGAAGGTTTTTCTAGATCCACAACCGGTTCAGATTATTATTATTATTATTATGCCCAGAAACTAAACTGGATTTCAAACTAGAAAAATGAAGACTACTAAGAAAGAAGAAAGGTAACCTGTTTCTTACCAAAATTTGAAGAACAGGTCCTGAACCCAGAAAGAATTAAAAAGGACTTCATTCCTCGTTTTTATCAAAAAACAGATGAATACTTGCAGCTTGAAGATTTGTACCTGCTCCTCGTCACTAATCCCGACAATATGGGATTATCTCAGGAAAGGCGGGTTAATATACGGCTAATATACAGTATTATCGGATACATTAAAATGTATTTAATAAATTCGGTTTAGCGGTACCTATTATGTTGACAACTAATAATGTTTTAGGTAGAAAATATGAAAAACTATTAAAAAATTTGGTAATCGGTAAACTTTGGTTATCGGTAAGTATCTATCCTTTTTATAAAAGTGTCCATACGTTTAACATATCAAGTAAATTTTACCGGTTTTGTCATAATGAATCTGGTTTTGTCATATTTTTATCTGTTATATTGTAAATTATCTATCCTTTTTATAAAAGTGTCCATACTTATTTCACTGTGAAAATATATTTATTATTATCTTTAGTTAATATTGTTAAATTTAAAATCTAAATAATATTTTATAAAATATCAAAACAATCAAATAATTTTTGTGTAAATGAAATTATTAAATTAATATTGTAGGTGGAAAAACATGAAACACTATTAAAAAATTGAAACATAAATTACATAACTTTCAAAAAGTATATATCATTTTTATAAAGTGTCCATACTTATTTCACTGTTAAAACATATTTATTATATTTAGTTAATATTGTTAAATTTAAATTCTAAATATATTTTATAAAATATCAAAACAATCAAATATAATTTTGTGTAAATTAAATTATTAAATTAATATTGTAGGTGGAAAACATGAAACACTATTAAATAAATTGAAACATAAATTACATAACTTTAAAAGCAGTTTTAAATCCTAAAAGTGATACTTTTAAAAAATATATCGATCCAAAACGATATACCTGGTAAAAATATGATAAAACCGTAACAAATGATAAAACCGTAAATTTAAAAGTGTCGATACGTTATATAAGGATCGACACTTTGTGAATTTAAAAGAGAAGCAGTTATAGCGCCTATAATGTGTCGATACTTTAAAAAATATATCGATCCACAACGATATAACAGGTAAAAATATGATAAAACCGGTAACAAAATGATAAAATCGGTAAAATGATACCGGATATATTGAAAGTGTCGACACTTTCGTAAGTACGTGTAATAAATTATCGACACTTTCAAAGAAATAGGTAATTATCCTTTCGAAAGTATCGACACCTGACATAAAAGTATCGACACTTTTGTATTTGTATCGATTAAATATAAATAACATATCCGATGAAAATATAAAGGCCATAGCTAAATATCCTCTGAAAAAAGATAGAACGGACGAGTTTTTGAAATCGAAGAGTAATTGTTGCTGCATTTCAGAAGGCGTTTCTAAAGCGAAGTTTGTTTGTTTGTTGCTGCAGTCGAATCGAAAAGTATGTTGTCGAAACCCTAATTTTTTATTATTACAGTAATCGCGATAGGTTTTTTATGTGTTGTTTGGGGTTTTGGAGTAAGGAGCATTTGGGACCGATTGCAGGTAGAAATAGATATTCAAGGAAAATATAATGTCGATACTTTTATTAAATATTATAGGTAGAAAATGATATTATAGGTTGTATAAATGTGCCGACACATTTTGGTGTGGCCATTCAAATTCTTTTGAAGAAAACCGTTTTACCACAAGAGTAGTTATCTATATTTGTATATTGAAAGTGTATGTAACAAAATAATTTGATTTGCGTAAACTGATATATGAAGGAAAAATGGAGTCAATGGGTTGGAAAATTGTTGGTGGAGCAGATGACTTTGAAATTGAGGCCGAGACTCGAAAGCAACCAAAGGGTGGATATATGTACTTCTAGTAAGTATCAATGTCTTTTTGTTATTATTGTTGAAATGGTAATTGGATTAAAGTATCGATAAACTTTAAATTGATTACAAATTTTAAATGTTAACAGTATGGTCGAATGCAAAGGATGAAGGGAGATGGCACACAGAGCGGTTCGGTATGTAAAATGAAATTGACATTGAGTAGTATTAGTATTTAGTGTTAATGTATTGATTAAGAAACGTTTATGTTTAATATTAGGTGAAAAAAGATATGAGGTCCAAATGGAATTCAATGAGTGATGCTGAAAAGGAACCTTACATCACACAGTCAAGGAATGATAGTAAAGAATACAAAGAACGGAGGAAAGCACATGAAAATAAGGTATTCATTAAACTTGTAAATACGTTGATACAAAATATATAGAACTATAACATTATATATTGTTAAAAATGTAGGAAGTGTCGACAAGGTGCAGCATTAAAGGGTGAATTTATTAATTAAACACCTTAAGGAGAAGGGTCAGTTGAATGTGCTGGGAGAAATAGGTTTTGGATCGTTGATCGGAGTAAGGGATCGACCTATTCGGAGGGAATTGTGTCGATCCTTGATGG